ATCACTGGACTCACATGAGTCATACTGTGATATGTTCCATCAGAGAATCTTCAGCAACAGGCTCTTGGAGTGGACAGAGGAAGACTTAAACTGGGTTGTGTCAGCAGAGTGGAGAACTATATCGCACAGCGATCTACAATTTTGGGATCTAAAGCATGTTGTAAAGTAACGGAATGGGACAACTAACCAGTCTCATGGGCAGAGAGACCATTTAGTGATGTGTTTTTTGCACAAGTCACTTGTGTTCATCAGCCCATGGTTTTATGTCGATGGACACAGCTTGCATCTTGATGGACAGCATAGAGTTTTAGTGCTGGTCCTGGGTGTGTCCCGTGGGCATGTGGACACCTCAGATGGCTGTGTAATTGGGACCAACTTTCAGAAACCGACCATGGGGTTTGCATTTCCATATGGGCAGGGTTAGCAGATGCAATTTCTGGAGGCTGCAGGAAGCAGGTAAGATATTAAAAAAAGAAAACTTCTTAAAGGCTGAGAAGTAAGAGCTTGTTAGACAGAACGGAGGGAAGGAAGTGGATGAGAAAAGGAGCTGAGAAGGTGAAAGTACCCATTGCTGTAAGTCAGAAGACTTGGGCTTGAGGCAGGCACTCTGAACAGCAAGAGACTGACAGCAGTCAACCCGAGAATTGTGTGGTGGCCATGGCGTTAAATTACCACTAGGAAAGAGATGACAGGATGTAGAACTGAGGAAATAAATGATACGTGGCAATAAAAAGAGAACCCCGTGTGTCTCAATATCCATATAATAGATTTGATTTTTTCCAGTGAATAATGCGCCTTGGGACAAAAAAAAAAAAAGTCACAAAGAGGAAAGATAGAATGATGCTAACTGAGCAACTGCTATGTACCCCCGTGGCTCTATGCTGCCATGTTACAGAAAGCCCTTCCCCAATGCTCTCATGAATTGTGTTTTATTATCACCATTTTATGCACAAAGAAATAGGATCATGGAGTTAAAGAAACTGGATGAAGAAAGCTCTGCTCATTACCCAAGATTGACCGATACCCAACCCATGTTTCCTTCAATATGTCATATTCCTCTCTGGGGGGAAATTTTTAAAAATCAGGCTTTTTCTCCTATGAAGAAGACTATACAATTAATTTTTGAGGGACAAGGCACAGAAAGATGTTAGCCTGACTTAACATTCTTGTTAAGGGTTTAGAAAGTATATCAGTCTAAATTAATATCTGGCAGCATTCGATGATTCTGAACTGCCTTGGAGAAAGGAACTTGCACAGTTATGGAGTGAAATAAACAAGCCTGGTAATAAGTGACATTTAGCAGATATTTACACACTTCGGGTAGGAACGTTATGTCAAAACCTGTTGCAGGCTCTGTTCAGAATTTCTGCTCATTATATTACAAGCTTCCACTGCCAACAAGATTCAGAGAATTTACCTTAAAAGGTGATATAATGAACCAGATGAAGTAAGCAATGGATCTTCAACAAGTGATTTGGCTTTACCAAAATCATTGCAGGAGTTCTTTCAATCACTTGCTTTCATTTTTGCCTCCAATTTAATATCTTATGAATGAAAATATAAGACTTTGGACCCCTTAAATTTTTTTTTATTATTTTTTTTTAGCGTTTTGTACAGCAGGCTTGTGAGTCATGGCTGAACCAAGGGAGACATGTAGTGAGGGGAGAAGTGAGTCAATGGACAAGTAGGTCTTTTGATTTAATTTGCATTTTAAAAAATGCATCCTCATGTAATGTGAGCAAAACAAGCAAGAAACCTAGATTTTCACATTTTCTGAGAAAATGACTTTTCCCTCTAAATTCCTCCTTTCATCATGAAAACCTTTTTATTTTAATTTATTTGGATAGGGTTTTGTTTTTTTTGTTTTTGTTTTTTTTGTAAATATGTTTTAAAATATTTTAGCTATTTCTTTTTTCCATTTAATATAGTAACTATATCTCAGGATTCAGTGTTAATTAAGTACTAGGATTTTGTATTAATTTTTAAAAAGGTGGCTATTGAGGGCCCCGGCACAAAAATGACCCCCGACTGCTGTGTGTGTTGCGTTCTTATGTCTACACGTCATGGTTTGTGCCGGTTTCTCGCTCCCTTTCGCTTGCTGACTGTGGCTTCTCACTGAGCCCTCATCAGTTGCATTCTCAGCATCTGGTTAAGACCAAGAAATGAGATAACTAGGAATGTTGTAACAGTTTAAAATATGTGCAAAACACGGGATTTTCCTTTGAGTGACATGCATGGGAATACTTCTTCATTTTCAGCAGTGTGGCTTTATGGCTAAAGTTTCTGAAGTTTACTTCTGTAGCTGTAAATACATTTCTTAGAATTCTATAGCCCAATGAATTGCAGATATTTTGGAATTACAGGTAGCATGGATTTTGCTTTCATTTTCTTTTTTAACTGTGATTTCTCTGTAGCTACTTCTTGCCTCAGTTCTTGAAAAATGGTATGCACGTGCCCATTCTCTATCCTATTAGTTTCTTCTTCTGTAGGAACACATTCTTATTTTTAATAATTATTGACTGCCTACATATTGTTTTCTAATTTAATAGGTCAAACATATGCTATGTGTTATCTATTTTACTTGGTTTGCAAAATAGAAAGTAAGTCCTTATATATTTCTTTGCCATATTGTAACTGGTAAGAGACATAGAATTTTCTCCCTTGCCCAGTAATCTTTCAAATTAGCTGCTTTTTTCCCCTCTCATCTTAAAGAATTAGGAAATAGAACTAGTGCAAAAGAACCTATTCAGGTCCACATGAAAATTTGTGAACGCCTGTGCTAACTCATTCAGTTTTCACAGCAGCACTTCTTGTTTTACAGTTAAGGAAACTGAGGCACAGAGGGGCATCAATGACTTTAGTTAGTAGCACAGCTGGATGTAAACCAGGTAGCTTGGCTCCAAAGTTCTCATCAAAAAAAAAAATGATCTGCAATTCAGATTATGAGCATCAAGCCAACAGTGGTTACGAGGCGGTCTGGATAGACTGCCAACCATGCTCCTGTGTGTGAGAAGCCAAAGAAGAGGAAATGTAGTTATTTTTTTGTTAAAAATGGAAGTTTATTAAGTGTTGATAATATTTACACATACAGTAAACACTTGCGCCACTTGAGGCAGGATTTAGAGCGCCTGTGTAGTAAGTCAGTGCTTTCCCATCTCATGCCAACGGCGAGCAATCACAGTGTCCCCTCACTTGGTCTTCCTGCCAGCACCGGATAGAACTTCATCCTGAGACCTCGTAGCATCAGATCCACTCATTGCAGACCCGAAGTTCTGACTTTACATTGAGAATCCGCAGCAGTTGTGACAGTGAATTTCCTTGTCAGTGCCTTACAATGTTTAGCTTGTTTGGTTGGTTGTTTGTCTGGTAAGACCTAACTTGAGCCATCTGCTTACTAATCCTTCTAACTCTGACTGTATTTGCAATTCTGAGCTCTAACTCCCCACTGCTAATGAAAGCATATAGTAGCAATAATAATGATGGTGATGATGATGATGATGATGATAATAATAATAATAATAGAGTAGCCATGGCTGTATTCTGTTGATATCCACTACCTGTGACCACCCATGAAAGCGCCACGGTGCACAGATGCTATATTAATTTCATTGCTGTATGTCCAGTGCACACAGTGTTGTCAAGCACAGACCAGGTGCTCAATAAGCACCGTATGAGTGAATGAATGATTGAATGGTCTCTATTCAGATGTTTGTCAGCTGAACCCCTTACATCTCCCCCAAGTTGATAATTGCAGTGAAACTACAAGTGATTTAATGAACAAATTCTGCAAATATTTTACTATTTAATAACTTCATTCTATAGAATAATCTAGTATAATAACTGGTTCATATTGGGTTATTTGCATGCTTAATAATATTGTTTTGCAGCCTTGGTTATTTCCAAGTCCCTGCCAAAAAAAAAAATAGATAAAATCTGAGCCCTCAATCTGCAGTGAACTAGTTCCGTGATGAAGGGCAAAGTAACATTTTTGAGTTTGTTTCCCATCTATGAAGTGAGGTTGTGAATAACTACCCCATAAGGCTGATAGGGAGCGTATTGAAAACCTTCCCATAATCACATAAGTAATAGTAATGGAGGTAGGATTCAAACGTGGCTGTCTGGCTCCATTTAAACCATTTTCTGATGCTGAAATCCTATAAGGCCATCTAAGAAGAAGTTACCGAGGAAGAGTGGTCCTGAGGCAAGAAGGATCAAGAGGACTTTTTTTGGGAAATTAAATCAGGAAAGAACTTTCCAGGCTGAGCTTTGCTTTGTCCACAGCTGGCCAGGCTGAAGGTTATAACCTCATTCTCATTACCAGCACATCTCAACAACTCAGAAATTGGCCGTGAGTCATTTCATAATTTGAGGTCATGCACATGGAATGTATAAAATTGAGGGGTTTGAAGTAAAGATGTGATTATCCTAACATAAAATACCTATTTTAAATTAACATTTGCTATTAGTTGTACATTAGATGTAAAAAAAAAGGTTTAACACAAAAAAATTGGAGTCTCTGCTTCCTAATAGGTTTAGGTATGCTTATCAGTAAAGCAGGGAATGGATGGAGGGCCAGCCATCATGATGCTGATAATAGCAAAGCAGGAAAGAAATCTCTTCATATGATAAAGCTTCTGAGGGAACGCCAAACCCAAATCCCTCTTTCACAGAATTTATACCAAGGAGCGCAGAGTCTGAAATGTTTTCATTCCAAAATGATTATTGAATTTTTAAAAAAAGTATATCGAAATAAATTGCATTAAACATATTTCCTGGAGTAGAGATCATGCCATGCTTTTCATTTAGAGTGATGATAAAATTCAAATAATGAGAGAGCACAGTTTCAAATCTTCTAGTGGTTCATATATTTGCACGCTTGGAGCAGTGATTGGATGACTCTTTCAATGTCATGCAAAAGGGTTCAAGGAAAAGAGGATGTGGAATATTTACACGGCTCATTATTATCTTTCCTCTAATAGTTGTTTTTTCTTTTCTTTCAGTTCCACCTTTTATCCAGCCTTTTGAGTTTCCACGGTTCTCCATCGGACAGCGCGTCTTCATCCCGTGTGTTGTGGTCTCAGGGGACTTACCCATCACGATCACCTGGCAGAAGGATGGCCGTCCAATCCCAGCGAGCCTGGGGGTGACCATTGACAACATCGACTTCACGAGCTCCTTAAGGATTTCCAACCTTTCCTTGATGCACAATGGAAACTACACCTGCATAGCCCGGAACGAGGCCGCAGCCGTGGAGCACCAGAGCCAGCTAATCGTGAGAGGTGAGTGCGAAACGCCGGTCGCGTGTGGCTGTGCAGCCTGATTAGGGCGTTGGCTTCAAATAGTATGGACATATCTAGAATTCATAGAATTTGCTGTCATCCCATTAAAAAGTAATATAATAATAATAATAATAATAACAATAATAATAATAATAATAATAAAGCTTTAGAAACCAACTATGAATTCCCCTAAACTCCATACCAAGGTTTCATTCACCTAAAAGATAAAGTTTCAAAATATTAGCAGCAAAGAAATGTATGGAAGCTGTAGAATTTCACTCCTGAAATAGGGCTTTCCTATATTAACCCATTGATTTTGAGGACCAAAGTCCAGGAGCTCCTGCTGTGTTGTATTTATTTTATGTAGCACTTTTAAAAATAATGTTATCACTTAGATTAATGGCTTCTAAAAACATTTGTCAAAGCCGTATTATCACAGTTTTTCTAAAAAGTAAAAAAAAAATAGTAGATTTTTATATTTTTTGTTTTGGTTTTAGAAATGTGGTTTTCTTTGTGCCTCTCTTCTGTTTAGCATTAAATCTGTCATTATTTTGGGAGGCTGTTGCAAGATTTATTAAATTGAGCAAACCATGGTAATATTTATGAAAACAATTAAAAATAGGGTAGTCTAACTTATAGAAAACATTGTCTCAGTACATCTAAAATATAAGCAACAGTCTTATTTCAAATCTCTAGTCAAGTGACCAAATTCTCATTAAGGTTCATGCTCCTCATCTGCAAAGAGAGCAGCTAATGTTCTGGAAAGTCTATTGAGCATGGCTATTCTGTGGTTTAATGGTTTCCCCAGAGCTGCATGCACTCATCTACCAATACAATATTCACCCACATTGCCAAATTAACTGTATGAAGTTAAAGATTTATATTAATGTGATTATATGAATTTCAAAATCCCCAAACATTGGGTTCTCAGTGTAATTATCAAGAGGGGATGTTTTCATCATCTTCAGGGTAGTCGATAGATCTGGGCAGATTCTTCCCTGAGCAGTAGATTCCTGTGTCCTTTTCAGTCCTCATATCTTGTCCCCATGACACCTATTCTCCCTTTCTGGGTGAAAAGTAATGCACGTTCTATCTATTTGCCAACAAGAGAAAGTGAAGCATACAGATTCATATAAAGAAAGCAACTCTGTATTTGTAAAAAACATTTTCCCTGAGTAAATGAGCAAGAAAATATATGTTCAGTTAGATACAAAATGAAGATACAAATGACATTTTTTTCTCCTTCTGCCTTGCACTTTTGAGTATGAGAAAGGGATACATGAATTTTTTCCCCATTTTTTGAAGATAAATAAAAATGGGAACCTGCATGGTGTCTGCTTCCTCAGTATTTTCTCATAAGAAGAATTGACTCTTACTATGTCATTTCTGAAGGGCAAAGCAGTACATCAGCCTGTCCCCTCTATATCTGCTCTGAAAGATCAGGTCAGAGGATAGAACTGCTAGACAAAAATGTGCACGAGTGTTCTTTGCATCACTTTCCTTTGCAGAAAAGGTAACCACTCTTTGACCAAGGCAAAGATCATCTGAACTGAAATGGAACCTAGCCGTTCAAAATAATATAGTTGATCATAATTTGGTTAATGTCTCCATGTGGTTGTTCTTCAAATATGTTAAATAAGCTTCTGTGACATTAACATTAAATCAGCAGTTAGGTGACAAAATCCTGAGGAAGGAAATGTGCTTCACAAGCAGGTCAGTGACTGGAGAAGTAGCCGAGGACAAGCTGACGTGGGGCAGTGGTCAGTCTGGACTTCACCATAGAAACTCCTGGGAGATGTAAAAACACTGACGACTATTTTCTGGTCCCTACTAACCCCAATGAAATCATAATCTTTGGGAGTAGACCCATCTCTCAGATCTCAGGAGCATTATTATTTTTTTTTCAAAACTCATCTGTAAGTGGTTATTTTTAATTAAAGTTTATTGGGGTGACAATTGTTAGTAAAGTTACATAGGTTTCAGGTGTACCAGTCTATACTACATCATCTATGTATCACATTGTGTGTTCACCTTAAATTTTGTCACACATTAGAATTATATGAGAAGCTTTTAAAAGTTCATGTATTCCAATTCTTATACTCAGATTGCAGCCCATACTAATTAAATAATCACCGTTGGAGGTGAAACCCAGGCTTCGGTAATTTGTAAAATCCCCAAGTTGATTCTAATATGCAGCCGAGTTTGAGTCCTAGCACCATGGTTCATTTGAATATGCAGCAATTTCAGAAGTCTAGGTTTTTGTTTTTTTTAATGCAGAGAGAGGTCATTGATGACTAACCAGGTCAGTGACTTGGCCTGATTTATCTTTTTAATTATCACACTAGCAGCTGTGTGATGAATGGACTGGTTCAGAAAGCAAGGATAATAGGTACGAGGCTATTTCTGAAGTTCAGGCAAGATAAAAAGTGCCTTGTATGTAGGTGGTAATGGCCAAGGTAATGAGAAGCAGTTGAATTTGCAATGTGTTTTGGAGGCAAAGCAAACAAAACATGTTTACTAAGTGGATATTGCAAATGAGAGCAGAATTTATAATGGAAGCACATATTTTACTTAATAAGATAAAGGGAATTTCCTTGAGCAGAAGAGAAGGTTCAAGGATTAGCAGTTGTGACAAGGGAAACACTGATGTGGGAGACACGAGAGAGTCTAGGCTCAAGGCATTCCAACATGGAAGGTTCCAGAATGAGGGGAAGAATCAGCACAGGAGACAGGGAGATGGAGCAACCAGAGAAATGGAAGGAAATCCAGTGGACGGTGGGGCCCTGAAAGCAAAATAGGTAACAGATCCAGCCAGAAAGATAGGCAATAAAGTATATCAAATCCTGCTGAACGCAGAAAAAGGGAAAACCAAGAATTGGTCATTGGGCTTAAGAAGATGGATATTGTTTGTGACCTTGAAGAGCATGGCTGCCATGAATACCTGACTAGTGGGGCTCAAAAGAAAGGGAGATCAATGAATGTGTGGAAATTCAATAAAAGACAACCATTTTCACATTTTTAGGTATGTTACTATGACAGGAGGCAGAAAGTGGAGAAGTTAGAGACGGACATGGGGCAAGGGAAGCTTATATGCTGATGGGAATGAGTCAACAGAGAGGGAAAAATATGTGGCAGGATAAAGAGGAGATGACTATAGTAACAAAGTCCTTGAATTAGTGAATTGGGTTGGATTCTTTACACCAGTAGAATATGTTCAAACTAGTATAGTAATAACCATGGTGGGACAGGTGCTCCTGAAGGTAGAACCAACAAAAATGGCTGGAAATTCTAGGGAGGCAGATTTGGGATCAAGTAACTTGAAACACAAATTTGAAAATTTATCTAATGAGACCATCAGAGAGGACTAAGTAATGGATCTATTCTCCTACCACCTACAACTATAAAACTGGACAAAAATTTATAAAACAACCATTTTCAGGCAGTGGAACAGGCAGCTCAGGACTATGATCCTTGAGAGAAAGGAAGCATATGAGCTGAACTCCAAAATTCACCCCAGACTTCTGCCTGGAGCAGTTTCCAAACTATGGCAGAGGGTGCAGAGCCCAAATAACAGTGAGCGTGCTGGGCGGGAAAAACAGAGATAGCAATTTAGAACTATTGTGGCTCTGGATTTTGCAGGGCAGAGTACTGGAGAGTAAGGAGATGTTCAAAACAAGGTTTCTAAAAATCTGTTTAGGGGTTCCTCTGAGTCTTTATTACACTCTACATGCACTTGGTGAGATTCTATGATATCTAGCAGAGAACAACTGCTAGGAGCAGGCGAGATGAATGAAGATTCCAGAGGTTACACAGTGCTGAAAAAATGTTAGAGTTCTAACTAGCCAGAATAGAGACACATGAGGAATTCAGTGAAAATCTCAGAGGCCACCATGCTAAAAGTAGGGCTAACCTAGTCCTGGAATAAGGGCTACTGGAGACCAGCCCTAAAAAATGCCTGAAGAGAGCCTTGACAGATAAAATTTCTCCACTATTAAATTAACTGACTGGAAGAATAACATTCAACACTCTTAAAAGCAAAACAACAAAATCCAGCCTCTCAATAGCATAGCATATTCACAGTGTCTTGTACAGAATTACTAGATATGTGAAAAAACAGGAAAATGTGAGCCATAAATAAAAGGAAAAAGAATGAAAAGAAACAGACTAATGGACACACAGATGTTGGAATTAGCAGGCAAAGTTTGAAAGCAGCTATCACAAATGTTTGCAAGAATTCAAATGAAAACATGTACGCAATGAGCGAAGGAGGGAATGCAAGAAGAGAAACACGTTTTTTTTTAAGTACCAAAGGGAAAGTCTAGATCTGAACACAGTATCTAAAATGAGACACTGGCTCTATTTAATAGAGCATTGGATACTACAGAACAAAGGATTACTGAACTTGAAAGAGGGCAAGAGAAGATATCCAAATCTTTTCACAAGAGAAAAAAGACCAAAAAAAAGGCAAACAGTGCCTCAGTGAACTTGGGGCCATGTCAACCAGTCCAACATATACATTGTAAGAGTCTCAGTAGGAGGTGCAGGGAAAATAATTGACTGGAAATGTTCCAAATGTAATGAAAAGCATAAATAAATCTACAGTAAAAACAATGAAACCCAAGAAAAATAAGCATAAGGAAAAATCATGCCATGGTATATCATAATAAAATTGTTAAAAACTAATGATAAAATATTAAATCTAACAGAGAAATTAGACTCATTAAAGACATAGAAGCAACTAAGAAAACCTCAGACTACTCACCAGAAAAAACTCAAGCCAGAAAGCACTGGCCTTTAAACTTTAAACAATAATACTTTATTGTGTAATTCATATACAAAATAACATACTCAACAATACTATCACAAGGGACAGGAAGAAGGAAAATGGAATTGTACTGTTGTAAAATTCTTCCTACATTATGCACAAAGCAGTATAATATTATCTGAATGTAGATGGTGCTAGTTAAATATGTACATTGTAAACTGTTGAGCAGTTACCA